TTTAAAGAACTTTCAGAAGTTTGAATTCTCAATCTGACCAGACTTTTCCTTTCTTCCCCTGTCTCTGTTCAGCTTCTAGCCCCGCTAGGAGGCGGAGTCTGCTGTTCTGACCCCTAAAGGAGGTGGAGTCAAACTGGGGGAGGAGTTTACTCTTACGACACCCAAAGGAGGCGGAGCCATCTGAAAAGGATCTCAGCTGGAAGTTTCCTTTATAGGAGCTGTGACCCCGGTTTGTGGACGTGAAACAAAGAAGATTCAATATTTTAGGAATGTGAAGAAAACTTGTTTACAGATGCAATAATGAATCACAGCAGCTACCGACTAATCAGAGGGCAGCATGTTGAACCTGCAAGGTTCTGTCTTCCTATTTACTTCTAAGATCAAACCCACAGATATGTGACATCACTATGATGTCATACAGCCAGGTAGAACACGGTCCTGATAGTCTGTCAGGTGTTTCTGTTACGTAACGATTAATTCAGAGTTTACTCTTTTATGCTCAGAGCTCCTCCTGACTGAGATCATGATGTTCGCATTCGTTGGTCATGAGATCAAAGCAGCAGGTCACATGGTGATCATAACACGCCGTATGGTTGCAGTGGCAACGAGTCACCTGGTTGCTGTAACATTTTACCTGGTTGTTTTAATGGATCACCTGTTTGAATCAGGTCTTCTGGTTACTATAAAGAGTTCATTGCTGCAGTTAACGATTCCCAGTCACGGTAACGGGTCACCTGGTTGCAGTAAAAACTTTATTTTTTTCGTTATCCTTAACCTTTCAGCAGGAGGAAGCCATTTTAACTCTTTAAGGCCTGGTTATCGTCCTCAGCAGTGTGTCGCAGTGAGATCATCGCAGATATTTCTGATTTCTGCCTAATATTGAAGCGTGGTCTGCGCTATGTTATTCCACGCCACAACGCCAGAGGGCCAATCAGGAACTAGCTGTGGGTCTAGATGCGGCCGAGGCGGCGAGGAAGTGGGGGCGAATCTATGTGACAATGGAGGGATATGAGGGCCAAAAAGAGCGGGGATCCAGGTGGAAAAAGGGTCCCAGCGTTCTCACTCACCTCGCTCTGCTAGCTGCTCCTTCTTCACCAGGCGTTTTCCACAATGGCGGTCAGACAAACAGAACAAGCCGGTAATGAACCAAACAGGAGCGGCCGTAAATTTGACCGATCAGAGGCCTCCTGTCTGCGCTCACCTACATTTTTCTAGTGTCTGTGGAAGGGGGCGGGGCATATCTGCGTTCACTGCGACACACGCAGACCACCTGCTTTCTGAGTATAAACCAGCCTTTATTGTGAAAGTCTTCAGCTGCTTCCTGCTCTGTGTTTTGCAAACAGTTTTTACGGTAATAATCTTTCCGTCTGATGAAGCTGAAACTCAGAGATGATATCTACGGTGTGACTGCAGCACTCAGAGGAAGTGGAACCAGCAGCTGCTTTATTCCAGGTTTAAATCGGTGGGGAAGATGCTCTGTTGATGGAGCATCTGAGTGGAGTTTACATGTTCTCCTATGCAGGTGTTCTATAGGGTTCTACTTGGGTTCTTCAGCTTCCTTTAAGTCCAAAGAGATGAGCTGGGTTCTGGGTGTCTGGGTCGGCACCGTCACCCTGCATGGAGGCCGGGGAATAAACCAGAGATGGGCGGATCCAGGGTGTGATGTCATCTGGACCTTCGGACTCATCCAATCAAAGCTCAGAGGAAACTGAGGCTCTAAATGGTTGATTTGGATAAAAACCATGAGTTTTATCGGAGTGGGCGGGGCTTCAACTCAAGCCGACAGATTAGCAACGTTAATTCCTAACGAGTTTTTGATTTGGAAGGAAGCTGAAATTATGATCCGCTGTTGGAGGCCAACTCCTCTCTCTGCTGCAGTTCTAAGGCAGGCATGGATGTTTCAAAATAAAAGCATTCCATAAAGATGAAATTTTGACAAAGGGACAGAGCAGTTGAGGCTTTAAATCGAAGTTCTTTATGTTCATTTCTATTATTTTCTTCTGTATTAAGTTTCTCTGCATGAAATGATTTGTTGACACCTGCAGGAGCCTGAAAGGTGCAGCTTCTTGTTTTTCTCTGGACTCTCGGCTGTTCCTCGGGAACAAACTCTAAAGTGAACCTTCTCTCAGCCACGTTCTCTATCCATCCATGACTGTTGAATGTACCTACCGGCTGCTCGGCGGCTGCAGAGATCACAGCATATGCAGAGAAAGAAGCAAAGCTTTTAACCATCAGAGGATCTTTCCTGCAACGTTAGAAGGTGAAAGATCATGGAGGTGCTTCTGCTCCACAGGGGGGCAGAATCTGCTCCTTCAGACTTCCTAAATTATTATCGTTGTTTTTGGACGTTAAACCAAAGTTCTCGGCAATATACTGAACTGCATGATGGTATTCTTCCAGTGAACTTCCATGCTGTTAATCTTGGAAATCTTCCACTTGCTGAAAAAGCACTGAAGTGTTTGTTTTACTTGAATGAAAATAGGAAGAGGATGTTGTTCTTGTTGTATTTATCTGTATGTATTCTGGATATATAAACCGAACTGACTATTCAATAAAGGGTTTTATTTATTATCAGTTTGGTTTGTTATTTGAGCTGGATGGTTGCATGTTATGGAGAACATCTCTGTTGGTCTGAAGAGTTTTTGTCCCAACTCTATTCTATTCAGTTT